TTTCCTTGTCAAAAACTAATATTTTGTAGTTGTACCGATCATTGTAGTCTAGTTATGTACATCCCAACACTTTTAAGTAGATAAATATATAAAATCACATTATTATGTGATTTTTAATTTTAATGTGGTTCATATTACCAAAGTGATGATGAAAGTATAAGGAGTTTGTTGAGGACATTATCTAATTTCATAGTAATGCTAAAATATTTTTGCTTTATAATTAAAATATGTGTGTTATATGTAATAAGTACTTATACAACATATAATTGTGCAGTTTCTTCACACTTGTTTTTGTTTTAACAATATATTTCCAAAGTTCTACAAAATTATAATTTCAAATAAATACAAATCTGAGCATCAGTTTTACCAAGTTCTACAAAAATATATTTCAAAGAAAAACAAATTTGAGCATCAGTTTTACCAAGTTCTACAAAAATATAATTTCAAAGAAATACAATTTCCATCAGATATCATTGCTCAGATACTATGAACCGGCTCAAACCAACTCTCCAAGTTCCTTCCTGCCACCTTTTTATTGCTGGGTTTTGGGCGCCTTTCTCCAACTGATGGATACCTCTTCTCCTTATTTCTTCCCTTCTTTTGACGTAGTCAGGAGGGAAGATCTGCAGTTCTTTTATTTCATCCGGAGTAGTCCACTCACACCTAGCCGGCACTGGATAAATGGTCATGTAGTATGCCAATGCCCACAGCTCCGCCAAATAATAAGGCAAACACAAATCATGAAATTGGATATCTCTCACTCTGTTTGGGCGCTTCCAATATTCTGTGACCCCAGCTATTGCGTGCTCACAAGGATACTTGTCAATATCGAAACACCTGCAAGTGCAACTTTTCCTTATCAAGTTCACCACATATGACTTATCGTCGCTTCCATTGACACGGTATTCAAGCTCAAATGTGTTTAACTCAATCACAGTTAAGAGCGGTGCAGTCTTGCATCTTTCATGCACTATGTTCTCCATAATAAGCACTAGCTTTTGTGCATTCGATCCAGAAACAGATTCCTTCCTATGTTTGTTAAACCATTCACCAATTTTCTCCAGTATCGTATCTATCAAGGGTAATAAGGGATACTACCTTTCTGTCCTAAACATGTTATTCATGGATTCTCCTATATTGGTGGTGTCTACGTTGTACCTCTGTCCTGGAAAATAACACCTCGCCCATTTTTCAACCTCACAACTCTCTTTCAGATACGCAGCCACAGAAGGATATCTGGTACAGAATTCATCAAAAACACGATGGAACTCAACCACTATATAGATCTTACCAACCTCTTTGAATCTACTTGACACTAAGTCTTTGTTAACATTGTTAACTTTAGTTCTCACATTCTGGGACAAATGCTATAGACAATACCCATGTTGAGCGATCAGATACACCTCTCGTACTGCCTTGATGAGGCTTGGATTTCTGTCAGTAGTAAATACCAATTCAGGCGAGTCTGGTATAACAGTTTTCAACATACTGAAAAACCACTTCCAACTTGCATCTTTCTCACCATCAAGGACACCAAAGGCTACGGGATAATGGTGGTGGTTAGGATCCTGAGCTGTGGCAAAAATTAGGACACCCTTATATACTGTCTTCAGAAAAGTTGCATCCACAACTATCACTTTTCTCATGGCTTGAAAACCTTCAATGCTAGCTCCCAAAGCAACAAAGAGATATTTGAACTTTTTCGCTTCATCCACCTCCACTCTTGTTTTTGTACCAGGATTCACCTTCTCTAACATGTGCATATAACTGTACAACAGCTCATAACTTTCTTCTGCATTACCACGCACATCTCTTACAGCTTGATATTTTCCTCTCAATGCGGTTGAGTATGATACTTTTACACCAAGTCTTCCCTGAACTATATTGATGAGACTTTTAGGAGTTGGGGTGTTAAATTATTCAGGATAATCATCATGCAATACAGAAGCAACTAGTCCTGGTGTGCCTTTCCTTCTATAGCTGCTTGTACTCGCAGTAGCCCGAGAGCATGTGTGCATATTGATGTACACTCTAACAGAGAAATAACTTGAATTGCTAACCTTCGCAACTCTTAAATGCCATTTACAACCTTCTTGACGACATTTGAGCACTAATCGCGTCCTATCAGACTTGACAACGCCAAACACAAAACAATTCTGAAATGCACCTTTCTCAACCAACTCTTGCACTGCATTCTTATTTACAAATTCTTGTCCTACTTGCAGACCCAAACCGTCCTCCCATTCCTCTCTAAGCTGACTATCCCGACTAATACTTGTAGGATCAACATATTCTTCATTTCCAAAATCGTTTCCAACAGATTCATTCACATCATCATCTAATCCATTCTCACTCACTCCCATAACATTATCCTCCAACAGCTCTTGCTGTTCTATTGGTTGTACATTACTTACATAGAGAGTAATGGCACCAGCATTTACTACATCATCAGTTGAATAAAGCACCATAATTCACACCAACAGAACTTCCTACACCCACTTTAGAAATTTGCTCGCCCCCCCCCCCCCCTGATCTATTCCCAAATCTGTAATGACCTCTACATGCAAAACACTTCTACATTTATCTTCGTCCATTGATGTCAGATAAGAATACACATCCTCATCATCGATAATCAGTGATGCTCTCTTTGGTTTACATACCAAAGGACTGAAGCTCAATTGCAGTTTCACCGTACTTTCATCTAACTCAATCTTCCTGCATATCCTACCCTTTAACACTGAATAACTTATATTTTCCATACATGTCTTAAACGTTAAACCATAGACATGGCCTACAGAATTCCATATTTCATCTGCTCCGGTCTTTGAATAACTTCCTCCGTAATCAAAATATAAGTTTACGGTCGTGCCCATTGTCGCCTGAGAACAAAATATAAAAAATAAATCATCAACATCATTCAGTAATACCAAGTAATACTCAATTGTGCTTTTTGAGTGGGTTCTAGTTTTACTTTCTTACTTAGTAATACCAGTTCAACCCAGTTATACTTATGTACTCAGTAATACAAGTTCTACCCAGTTTTACTTTCAAACTCAGTAATACCAGTTATATCCAGTTTTACTTTCGTACTTAGTAATACCAGTTACACCCAGTTGTACTATTGTTCTTGCAACTCCTTTCTTTCTTTCGGGCTGATATGAAGATGATTCTAATTTAATCATGGTTTCCTACGATTATGGAAATAAAATGCATTCATTACCAATGCATCGTCCTTAACGACGCATACAACTGTGAATTACACAAATATGGCGTACAAATGGATTACAAAGGATATGGATTCCAATTCAAAATTTTTCAATTCACAATTTTCAAAAAATCAAATTGATTTTCAATTATACAACTCGATTTGGAGATGACGAGATATGCTTGAAACACACCTGTATTCACCGGACTTTGTAATGATTGAAGACAGTGTGCGATATCCTGGACTGAGAGCTCGAGCTATGCATCAATGGCGGATCCGATGGCAAATCTCGGGGATGTCGTGAGGAGAGGAGAGAGAAGAAAGATTTGTGTTCTGATTGGATAAAAATAATGTATTCTCATTGGTCTAATTTTTATTATCTTTAATTTTTAGTTAGTTGAGAATAAGGTTAAAATAGGGATATCACATTTCATTAAAAGAGCAAGGGGTATATAGATTATGGAGAGGGTATTTTGTTTAGTTTCTCCTCAATAAGGGCAGTTCAGATCATCATCCGAATCTTGGGGATGTCGTGAGGAGAAAGAGGAGAGAGAAGAAAGATCTGTGTTCTGATTGGATAAAAATAATGTATTCTCATTGGTCTAATTTTTATTATCTTTAATTTTTAGTTAGTTGAGAATAAGGTTAAAATAAGGATATCACATTTCATTAAAAAAGCAAGGAGTACATAGATTATGGGGAGGGTATTTTGTTTAGTTTCTCTTCAATAAAGACAGTTCAGATCATCATCCCTCTCTTTTGTCTAACATTATGGGCTTGGAAATTTTGGTTAGCTAGTCTGTTATATAACCATAAATTAGTATCAAAAATTCAAAATCATAATGGGCCAAAACATATTAGGCTTTTGTGATTTCAAATGTTAATTAAGCTTTTGGAGAAACTAGCAAATCAGATTCTCTTCACATCTAAAATCATTAGAACAAGTTTGATTTCCCTGGTCCTGAGAACAAATTTGATTTTGGGTCTGTTAATCAGTTTATGCCAATGTACAACAGATATTATCAAGTGGGAAGAATAGTGGCGTTCCTATATATAAAAAAAAGGTTTCTCATGGATTTTATAGATTTTACGAAAGAATATAAAATATCTCCTTTTTAAAAAAGAAATGTATTTACCTAGTAAAACCATAGAAAAATAATGAGAATGTGGGTGACTTATGGAAACGACTGGGATGCGCATTATATTCTTTTAAAATTTTTATTGAAATTTTAGATGAAATTGGAAAGAAGTTTTTTTTTGGACAAAAAGTTAAAACTGCGTAGTTTTCAAAACGGAGAGAATCATTAAAAATAAAAATAAAGATGATAAAACCCCGAACAGGAAAATTTGGGATAAAATAAAGGTCAAATGTGGCGCAGGTGAAATGAGACAGAGAGAGAAAGAGACGATAGAAAACAGCCGCCAATTTGCTTAGCCCGATGTCTGTCTTCCCAGCAGTCAACAATCAGATATTTTTTTGTTCATATAAAATATTCCAAAAGAAAACTTTATATAAGCTACAATTGCTTCTAATTTTTTTTTTCATATTATGCATAAAATATCTCAAACGAAAATACTATTAGCCAATCATCCGCTGCTCATTATCACTCGAAAATATTCGAAACCAAACGTTGCTATCGAATCCATAACTAAATTGCTAGTTTCAAAGCTGCAAAAAAAATATTTTAAAAAACTGACAAAAGTTGCTTAGGCTGATTCATGTGTAAAGACAGAAAAAAAAGGTTTTAAAACCACTAGACTAGTTCACTTAAAATAAAATAAATAAAAAGACTAACTAATACGACGATGTACCGGCAGATTGAACCTGGAGGAGGTGGTGGAAGCAATCAGCAGCGGTCGGTCTATTCTCTTGGTTCGGCTCCAAACACTTCCCTTGAAGCTCTCTCAACATCTTTGGCACATTACTCAATCCACAAGTCTTTATCATATAACCCACTCCCCACACATCCACTTTCACCGCATGCAACCCTCTCTCCATCTCCGGCGCGTGTCTCCCACGCTCCTCCCCCTCCACCTCCTCCCGTGCCGCGGGGCGGTGCGGGTTAAGCTGCGGGGACTCAGCAGCCTCGTCGAACCCGCAGACGATCCATTCCGCTTCCGACGTCGCCATCTCCGAGCTTCTCATTACATTGTCCCATCCCATGTCGCGATGCATGAAGGAAAGGTCATGAAGCGCAACGAGCGATCTAGTCACACACATCAGGGACTCGATGAGCTGGTCAACGGTACGAGGTTTGACTTTGATTCCACGTGGGTTAAAACTCAAGGAGAGATCCTTCTCGCTTGCCCTATCTAAATGCTCCGCGTGTGGAACTCTTTGGTCGAGAAAATCGTAGATACCTTTCACTCCGATCCATTTTCTCTTGCTTGAGTAATACTTAGTCACCGTGTGAGGCGTTACCTCGGTCACGAAATCTCCATGGTTGGTTCTCTCGAAGTCGTTGTAACATAGAGGCCTCGTGGTGCACATATCTGCAAGCAAAGGTAAAAGAGAAGCGAGACGGTAACAGGGAACCAAGGCTTTGATTCGATCGGAAGGTGATGTGACGTCGAATGAATAAAGATCTGTGCAGATGACTCGATCCTGCGATGGACGGCTCAAAGCGCAGAACGTTACGGTGAAACCTATAGCGTGATATCCAAGAATGTATGGAAGATCGTTGTACGACCAAAGAATCTTCTCGACCAATAGAGAAGAAGGATCAGCTGCACCTTCTAGTACCTTATCGGCCTCTTCTCCTCTCCATAACCCAAACCCTTTCACGAATCCCATCACGTTTGGCCACTGGTCTTGAACGTTTATAACGCAAGAAGACGAATCCGGTTTACGCAAAACCACCATTTCACAAAACTTTGAAACCATCCTGTTAACGCAGTCATCCCAAAGCGGGATCAGTGAGTCTTTGCTCGAAATGACTAAACCGTTGTTAGGGTTTGAGCGGGACATTATGGGGCTAATGATATCGTATGTGATTGCTCTACAATCTAGTAGCTCCGTGGAGAAGGTGGAGAAGAAGAGCTCTTTCCCCGGCGGCAGGTCTTTGTATACGTCTCGCCGGAGAGGAAACCGGAGATTTTCTGGCGGTGGTTCTTGAAGATACCGTGCGAGTTCAAATAAGCTCGGAAGATTTCCCGCCGGCTCACGCAATTTACTCAAGTAAAGCTCTGATGGGTCTTGGAACTCCAATGTTGATATTGCTGTATTACCATTAGGTCACATGTTAATAATATTAATAACAGTAGTTTAACAAACTTAAAAGCTGTAAGATTGGGGAAAGAAAGTACATTTATAAATCGGTTCTGCGAGTGGAAGCGGTGCTCGATCAAACAAACCTGTCATACTAACTGCAAACAAAACACACATGTCATAAGACTTGAGAGTTGCATTTGTTTTACTCCTCAATTTTAAACTTAATATATATATATATTAAGTTTATGACTATATTGATTAAGTTTGTTTAAACTTAGCAGAAAAAAAGACAAAGTCTAAGACTATAGATTTGCATTGATTTTCCTCTTTGATTTTGTATAATTATCACTTGAGGTTAATGCGTTACATTTTCTCGCTCTATAAGATTAGAAACTTGCACTAGTTACTTTTCTCATCAATTTTTTATACTAATTATTATTGGAATATCCTTAACATTTAACTTTTCAATAAGATTAAAGTAATGCATTGATTTCCTCTTTAATCAATTTTATCAATAAACGAATGTGTATATGTGTGTGTGTTACCTGAAGGAGAAGGAGCAGATGATGAAGCTGACTTTTGTCTTCCAAATACTTTAAGATGTTGACCAGAAATGAATTTATCCAAAGAAAACCCCTTGAGAGGTCCATCTTCGAAAGATTCCATTGTACAAGCCACCATGGAATCATCCAAGTAAGTGAGTTCGTCAGCATTCAAGAAACTCGACCCACTAACCCTAATTCTCCCATAGTCAACCTCTCCTTCTTCAGCCCACAAGTTAACCGATTCCTCCCAAGTCAACCGTATTTTCCCAACACGACGAAGATCTTTTAGCGAGGAAGACGAAGAAGAAGAAGAAGGGATCGTCTCGCAAGAAGGATTGTAGTATCTATTAGAGAATAAACCTGACCCTCTAGCAATTTTGTGTGAATACGGATATTGAGGATGATCATCTCCAACTATTGATACTGCTAATCGCTTCCCTCTTCCTACAAAGTGCATAATAATAAATTATACTCAAACATTAATTTCACAAACAAAGAATTATAATCTTTAGACAATTTCAAGATTCTTTAATATATTTTTCGATTAGATCAATAGCCGATCGTACCAAGCATAGACAACCAAATCTAGAAGTTTAAATACGCAGTATGGAATTAAGTGACTATTAAATAACAATGAACTTTAGACAAGTCAATGAATAATAAATAAATATAAATAAACGTTATAGAAGTTTTTAAAAAAAAAAACAAATATTACCAATGGAAGTATCAGAATCATCGTTTCTTGAAGTCAGCAACGGTGTATGAAGAGGAAGAGGAAGCGCGTCAACGGACTGAGGCGTCAAGGTAACATCCGCCGGAGCTCCGCCACTACCACGGCGGTTGATAGTCGGAGCTCTGACACGTGGACCCATGAAAAGAGCCAATTCTTGGTACACTTCTTCATCAAAAGACGCGGGAAGTCGATGTTGTTTCCTCTCGTAAGGAGAGAGCCTGAAGTAACTCTTACCGAATTTCTCTTTATCTCCACCTCTCTCCCACTCGTACACTTTCCTAAACTCACCAAGCATGTTGTCCCATTTCGTACCGGAGATTTTCGAATCCCGGTTTATACCGTGCTGGTTCAAGAACTCGGCTACTTCCCTGTCTTTTTCAGCCCGGGTCTTCCCTCTACCCTCACCCGACCCGGATCCGGATCCGGACCCGGTTCCTTGGTTTTGGTACTGGACTCTCCAGGCTCTTGCTAGCCATAGCATCTCGTTTGGTTTCCACACGGGGCTCACGTATTTGCCTTTCCTGAATTTATGCTGAAACGACTCCGTTTCGTGTTGTTGTTTCTCGGTGTTGGTAGCTTCTTGACCCGGTGGTGAAGATCCGGCGGTTTCGGTTGAAGAAGCTGCTACCACGGCGGTGGAAGGGGACGTTGATGTGGCGGCGGTTGGTACGGTGGAAGGAGACGGCAAGGCTTTCCATTGAGGTGGAGAGAGACCACCGGAAGTGGCGAACCGTGGTCGTTTTGGGATGACCGGAGCTCCGGGAGAAGAGACGGTGGGGATGAAGATTGGAGCAGGGAGGAAAGATTGGTGTTGGTGGTGGTGGTGGTGGTGGTGGTGGAGGAGGAGTGATGGGTCTGGTGTTTGGTGATCAAGTGAAGAAGAATCTTTAGGTGAGGAGATTTGATTCGGTGATGGTTTTGTAGCATCTCCTTTTGTTGTCTCACCCATTTCAAGAAGCACTCAAATTAAAGAGTAATTAAAAAATATCCCAAAATGAGTTTTTATTATTAAAAAAAATTTGAGAAGAAGGGAACAAGAAGAACCAGAGAAACGATTTTGTGTTGATCTTTTGAGACTCAAGCTGGTTTAGTTTCTCTAGTTTTGGGGCTTATGAAGAGAGATGAATCAGATGACTATTAGGGTTTTTAGCTTTTTGGTGAGTTTTGCTTTTTGCAGAAAATTGAAAACGAGTACTAATGTTGAAACAGAGAAAAATAAATAAAAATGAAAACTAGTACTATTTCTTAAAAGTAAGCAGAATTTTTAATACAAGATATGATTTTCAATTTACCAATATAAACCTGTTTAAAGTAGCCATGTCACTTCAACCAATCACACATACCACCATGTTTCGATGATACTCGTTGCAAATGTACTCGGTTCTTTCTTCTCGCGGATGCTTATTAATTCTTTGGTGTTGAATATATTTTATAATACCTAATATGCCATCTAGTAAAGAAAGAATTCGGGCATTACAGGCATCATAATACTCAAGTTATTTATTGTATTCATGTGATATTCAACAAACAAAATTAGGAAATCTTATTAATTTATATAGAAAACTCCTCATTTCTTTTTCATTTTTTTATAAATCATAATGGGTTTTTTTTCCAGCAAAGGTTATCCGACCCTCAAATTTAAACTTTCAATTGTTTGCGTTTATGTTTGTATTTACGTTAAAAAAAATTTAAATATGTACACAACTTTATCTATTTTTAAAAAGGTTATAACACAAAATAATTATTTTGCTATTTTAAATATAAATATTAATTGTAAAAACAAATCGACTAATATAAGCTTTAACTAAAACGCAAAAGTTGTTTTTGAATCAATAGTTGCCTACAATTACGTAGGATAAAAATAAGGGTTTCAAAAAAAATTAGATGAACTCAAAACATATGACCAATGATAGATAAATATTATTTTAAAAAATATTAACAAGTTGATGAACATATATATATATATATATCAGGTGAACTCAACCAATATCCAAATATGGCATTTCATGCAATAAGTTAAAATTAAGTAGCACTTAATTTATGTTTATAGAAATGTAGGCAGTTTGTATATTGAAGTTACTAATATCAGTAACCAAATCCACATCTTCCCTCTCGCTTCTATTTTGTTGTAATAATAGAGCTTATCTCTGTATTCGACCCAAAAAAAGAAAAACCTTATATCTATCTATACATATAGGTTCTGAACTTCTAATAGAATTTGAATATTGAATATAGTTACAGTCATTAATTAAGGAAAGCATAATTTGTGTTGAATAAAAAGAGATGCCTGTGGAACCTGGCAATGAATAAAGCGCATCAGTTTGGCTAATATAAAAACTACACAATTTTTCTTAACGTTGATGTTTGATTTTGACAACTAGAAAAAGGTAAGAGTGTCCATCATCATTGTCCTGAAGACTGCAAGCCCGGCGTAAGGAAACACTGCTTTTATTATTATTAATATGTTTTGACATGGTACTGTATTCAATCTTAAATTAATTTCCATTTTCTCATTAGTTAAATTTTGGATAATTTATTTGTTTTCGGGAATTTCAGAAAAAGAATAAATATTATAGGAGGAAAAAGGGACTGAGAGTGTGTTTGTGCGATAAAAGGGAGAGAAGAGGAGAGATGTGGACACATCGATTCCATGCTTCTGCTCCATTGACTCTCATGCCAGTTTTGCCTTTTCCGAGCTCTTTTAACTTAATTTTTTTATTATTTCTTATCAAAATGTAGCATTACTAAAAATACTTGAAGTATTCAATATATTTTTTACTAGAAATAGTTAAACCATGTATCGTTTTACCTTATATTGTGTTGTCCAGCTCAACCCCACTTACCAAAGCAAGTAAGCTTAGCTCAATTTAGTGACTTTACCAACTGTTTTAACTCAGATTATATCCATTTATATAATTCAAACTTTTAAACTCTCTAAGTTATTGTTAATTTGATAATTTGAAATTGATAATAATTATAAATAACGATACAGCAAATGTCTCATAAAACAAAGACATCAACTAAGATCCAAAATTGACTAAGTTCCAAAAATATTCTAACGTTGTGGGGATATTTTATCTGAAAATCAAGTTTATACGAATCTCAGATTTGTGATGAAGTTTTGTGTGACAAATTATCGGATAATTTTTCAAGCATTTATCTTTAGTTTTCTGTATATGTTTATTGTTGTTTTGCACATACTTTCCTTTTCTGAGATTTTAGTATAATGCAATAGCTGAATAATACAAAAAAAAATGAATCTCAGCTTTGTATTAGTTTTGTAGAATAACATCTCTCATATTTGAATATATATAATGTATAAAGCTAATTCGTAACAAAAATCTAAATGTAGTAAACTTTTAATAAATGAAGTAAAATCTAAATTCTCTAAACACACTCTCAATCCTTTTTCTTTTTACTCATGTAGATTGGGACAAATTATCACAATAACCCATTTTGAAATCCATATCTATTGTTGATAGATTGTCACAATATATGAGATATATAATCCAAAAAATTAAAAATTGCTATATCGCAACTCAAGTATGGTTAAAACGTTTTCATAGCCTACTATAATACTTTATTTCTAAATCCATTTAATCCAAGATCTATTTTCAGAGATGGTTTGGTAACCATGACTTGAAGACGGCCAAAACAACGGTGGAAGCAAGGGATTGGTCATCTCCTTGACTCGATCTATGTGACTATGCCCGGTCTGAAAGTTGACTTGCCGGACTTGATTTTGATATCTGTTGGACATTTAGTAATTTGCAAGTAAAACCTATCAATAATTTAATAACTTGCATATGATAATGCCTTCAGGGAAATGTAAAGGGGGGGGTGAAAAAATAGAGTACGATGTCTTGAATTTTACAAACCGTTAAAACACTCACAGAAAAACAAGTGAAAAATGATGGGCACGATCACCAAACCATTAAAACTCATCTCTCTGTGCTATATCTCCAAAATTTTAAAATTTTAAACCCTAGACCTCTCTCTCGCTCTACCTATATATGCTTTTCTCTCTCTAGGTCGGCTGCTGCTTACCTAATTAACAGACCATACAACAAACACCCTCTCTCATCACTTTCTTGTCACGAAATTTTCAATGCGTTATATGCATGATATTAATTTATTGTTTCCCCAAAAGGGCACATACACATGCTCATGCCTCATCAATGGTAGTAAAATTAGCTTTTCTTGTTTTAACATTTGTAGAAATGATATGTCTTTGTTTCCACATCTATTTATAGGGAGGCAACAGTTTCTTGGTTTAATCTTCTCAAACCTCGATAGTTGATAAAAATATCAACACTTTATTATGATTCCCTTTTCTATTTAGTTGGGTTTAGATTAATTTCGGCTTTAAATCATATACATATATTGGAATTTGAAAATGGCATCTTAGAAAAGTAACGAAGGGCATGGAAAAGAAGAAGAAAAAGTGATGTAGACAGTAGAAAATCTATATGGTCTACTTTATGGAGAATATTTAATCATGACTATATAATATGCATGCTTATATAATGATAACATTAATAGCTAGAGTTTGCTTTGCCTCGCGCTTATAGGCATATGAATTTATTTTTGTCACTATATACTACAGGCATTTTGGGATTCGGTGCTTTACCCTAAAGCTGTTATTCTATTAATATATTTTATTCCATAAGCCCTTGGACATTTTTCGTAAATTGAAGATCTCCTCATTTTCAAGATCTTAATCCGAGATCCTGATTTTCCGAAACATGGATTCCGTGTAAGAAAGAGAGAGAGAGAGAGTGATGAGAACCAATTTTTTTTTTATTTTTTTATTATTGTACTGTTTGTGGATGGAGCAGCCAACAATAGTCGTCCCAATCGTTATGAAAATATTGAATGATGATGATAGATATACATATTTTTCACCCAATAAACTATGGTTTTTCTTTTCTTTTCTTTCAAGTCGTAGTGGTTTTTACATACTTGCATAATTGAGATAGCGGTTTAACGACATAAATACAAAGCAATATATTACTTATCATGTTAATTTTTGTATACATGTTATACCTAATTTTTTTTAAGTATATATGACTATATAAAAGAAATGTATGTAAATTGTAACAACTCGCGAGTCGAGAGTGAAATACAATTGATGATGAGTACAAACAATATTTCCATTTGGAATGAGTACTCGAAAGTTGAAAGTAATACTCTCTCTGTTTCATAATAAGTGTTATTTGGAGAAAATGTATCTGTAATGTATCTGGATGTATTAAACTCAAAACACATCCAGATACATCCAATTACAATGCAGATACATTTTCTCCAAATGACACTTATTATGAAACGGAGAGAGTAATAGATATTGCGTTTAGTGAAATAGATACGCTCTAATTGTTTCATTTTATCGATACGTGATGTGATGGTGGTATTTTAATTTTAGTGTTCTAATTTGGGCTCGGAGAATACATAATTCACATTACAGGCCTCTAATTATGGGCTCTACTTTTTTGTTCGGGCTGACTCTCTTTGCTACATGTCATTAGAGATTGCCCAACACATTAAATCGAAGGCATCTTAGAAAAGAAAAGTAACTCTTAAGAAAAGTATTTACAATGACAATTTCTTTACACAAGTTAAGCAAATAATTAAGTAAACAAAATATACATAGTTTACATGTGGTTCTTCGGTAACATGGTGTATACTTTTTCCGTTTCCGAAAGTTTAATTTTTTAGATTTTTTATTGAAATTAAAAAACAATTATTATTTACTTTTCTAAGTTATTTTTTGTTTATTTTTCAATTCAATATTTAATTATATTTTTCAAAAAATAAATAATATTTTTTTTCAATAATATTTTTTTTACCCATAAAATTATTATTATTTATCTTTAAAAAAAATATATTAAATATAATCTAAAAAATTAATTTTTTAAAAATAAAAATAAATCTCAAAACATCAAACTATCAGAAATGAAAAGAATATATTTTATATGTGGGTTAGATATCCATCTATCCCATTTGGATCCGACGGCTATATTAATTCATGTAATCATGTTCTAGAAAACTAGAAGTTGAGTTGGAAAGGTTGATGAAATTTCGCTAGCATAACTAGAATCGACTTTGTGCTCAAGCAGAATAAGCATAAGCTTGTGGTTTTTATTTTTAAACAAAAAATTATATATAAACAGTTTAGTTTAGGTCGGCCCACTGCCCAAGATAGTCGCCACCGAGTCAAGATAAGCCCATTCCACTGCAGCTCCATCGTTATCTCCCCCTCTTCCTAAAGATCCTTGTTCTCCTTTCCCCCTTCCTTCTTCTTCTATGGATTTGGTGGTATCTCATCCTTCTCCGTCGGGATTAAGGCCTTCTCCAGATCTGCCACCGGGTAAGTCTCCTCCCGTCTTGCTTTTGAAGTGCTCTCTCCTCTCGCTCCGCCATAGCCCCCATATCCGCCAGATTCACCCTCCATCCTTGCCCCTCACTTGGTCCCCATAGCCTCCGCCATCTCTTCTCCAGATCTAGATTTTTCTTTTGTAGATCTGGCTATGGCATCCGGTGTCGTGGTAGCATATGTTGTGTCCTCTAGTGACACGTTTTTCATCTTTAGGTGAACTCTTCCTGCAGTATGCAGTCCTGAAATCTTGTCGTCTCTCCACCTTTCAATCCCCTATGCCGCCTCTCCATCTCGTTGCCCCGCTGCCTCCTTGTCACTCCCGCCTCCCCAGGTTTGCTCGTACTCCTCGACCTCTGCTTCTTCAGTGTTGTAACAGTCTTTTGCGGTATGAGAGATGCTTGTTGTGTGGAGTCCGGGTATGTTAACTCCATTGCCAAATGTTTTGGTTTCCTTTGTTTTCGCCTCAGTGCGGCTCATTACTGCAGAATGCAGAGTTTGTCCTGTTGTCAAATTGACGGAAGCTTCATGTTTTCTTTCTAAGTGGCAGAATAGAAAGAAAGCTTGTCCTAGCTCTATCTCATTGAATCGGGTTTTGGACTTCTATAGTCCTCATCTCTCCTTTAAGGAGGCTGTTTTCCTCCCAAATATTTCATTTGTTTTGAGTGATATTATTTCAGAGAGCATTGTGTCGAAGGTAGTTCTGTTTAAAACAAAAGTTATAAGAGTATCAGTCTCTTAATTGATGTTGCTGACAGCTTTACTTTCTCGACTATGGAGGCTGTGATCCCTCCTCCTAGTGGTTTTGTTCAAGACAGCAAAGTTTATTCTTGTCTCGATCTTGCTTTGGTTAAGCTTGTTAACTCTCATTTATCTTCGGTTGAGCTTGTTAGATCTCAATTATGTCTTTATCTTAGTTTGAGTTATCATTGTTGTTTTTATAGTTTGTGCTTCACCAATCTATTAGTTGATATCTTGCTCTATTTAATTGTTTGTGGTCTTTTGTATCATCTTCATTTGAAGTTACAACTTTGTTAAGTTAATGAAAGTTAAAATTTGATCTAAAAAAAATTATAAAATATTATTCATTTTTTTATTTATAAAACAACCTTTTTCTTCTGTAAATTGCGGCATTTACAATTTTTCTAAATTTCAGCTCCAGCTCAGAGCATAACGAAAGTTTTTCGGTGAACAAACACATTCCACTTTAAATTTATTTGCCTTACGAATCTTCAAAACTGACCTTGAACGACATTATGTAAATTTCTTTATCTTACTTCATTAATAAATTAATTTTAACTCACGAAATAGCATATTTCATTAGAGTTACTTAACATAATTTTATAACTCAACTATACTAGTTTTTCTAACTCATTTAGTTATAAGAATAATCAGGTACAAAAAGTACTATAATTCTATATTTCAAAAGTCGAGTTGATTTGAGTCAGCTCACATACCAAAAACTTATTTCGACACTCATACTCACAACTAATTCTATAGATTCCAAAGTCAAATCTTTGACTATCAACATTCGCTCGATTCATTTTATTCTTAAGGATATACTAGTATATATATTTGGTAAATCACACCACCACCAAACATATTCGAAAGCTGACCAAGTAAAGTACAAGCGTGTTGTTTTTAGTAGTACATGCGGATATTGATATGTTTGCCAACTAATCATCATCATAAAAGGGGCCACGTTCACACAGACACAACTAGATAAGTTTATGTCAATTAACTAAGCCACATATGGAAAAGCAAAATTAGTTTGGTTTCACTACAAAAAAAACTTTCACTAACACTAGGTTAGCTGTCTGAAATTAATCGTGCATGAAAGAGATAATTATAGCTCACTAATTGAATCTTTTCAAAACTTGATTATCGGTCAAAAACAACTTCAAAATCGTACTTCTCGAACTAATAATCAGAATATGTTCGAACCTTTTTTATAAATTTGTTTTTCCCTTCGTGTTTTCGAAATAGGGATCCGTTCCATTTTAGCTTTACGTACGGTGAGATGTATTAAAGAACATATATAAGATCAATACATTAATTTAGTTTAAAAAATATAAGTAAGATGAAAATAGTCATCCATGTGAACTATATAGTTAGAAAATGCAAAAAGAACAAAATATCTAACAAATTTTAAAAGGGGCTTTAAACTTCTTCTTTTTTTTGGTTATAATATTTGTATGTATATGGGTATCTGATTCTCTCTTTCTCTTTTTTTTTTTATAGGTTTTTGAGATACTGGTCGGAAAATTATTAATCACTCATCATCAGCAACTGGTTTAAGTAATGGTGTTAGGCTGTCTTTATTGGAACATAATCCGATCTGAAGATCATAAATTCGTTGGACAGCATCTCTCTACTTAGCAATTAACTAACAATAATTAAATAAAGGGTATATTAGGGAGATCTCAACCACTCAATCTCCCGTATCTCCAATTGCTTTAACATTCGAAATAATGCAATCGTTGCTAATTACTTTATAATTAATATATTTATTTAAATCTCTTTTCTAATCCAAGAGGACTATTCAACGCATAAAATAGATGTGGAAAGGCAAAGAAATCGAAATTATGAGATACTGTTGCGTGTGCTTCAGGTAGAGAACGAAGAGGCAAGAGACACAACAAGTTATGTAGTATACATTAAATATATTGTGTCTCGTACCATCGATATTCAAAACAATATACAATAGTTGTGTTTACCTTTCAATATTCTTTTTCATAATATTTCTAAAAAGAAAAAAATGTCAAAATCAGGAAAACTAGTGAAGGTGGTACTGTGAGTTGAAAACTAGTGAAGGTGGTATCATTTAGTTTTTATATATTAAAGTTATTACTAATATATGTCAATCGAATCAATTTCTCGGGCGGTTATCATGTAGTTTTTGTTCCTAAGTCGACGTCTTCCCTACCATTTTGGTCAGTAAAATTCAAAATATATCCACTAAGCGCACAATCGTCTTTGCGACAGAACTCTCTGATCTGAAGATTTCGAAGAATCAGTCTCTCGGCTTTGTTGTTTGATTCTTATCAATCTAAGACCAATAATGTTCAAGACTGATTTTTGCAACCAAATGAGCCTACGTCGATTACTTCATCAACCAGTTCATGCAGCATGTAAAACTATGAAAGTATTAAAAGACATTTAATTAACGTAATGAGACTAATTATATTTTAACAATCGTCTTTTTCCCCGTGTATACTCTAAAGTTTTAACATTGATCGATTGATGACTATTTCATTAGAAAAATAGGCCGCATCACCATAATTTTGTTTCCTTATGCAGTAGAAGAATTCATTAATAGTAAAAAGATACTTAATATATATTTATATATAGAGGCATGAAAGTGAGTTTAGAAATTGGCTGATTCGATCATCTTTGCACAAAAATACACTCCAAGAAGAGAAAGACCAAAAGAAAAACAATCCTACAGAAACTAAAACAAAGAAATGGGGACAAAAAGGATCATTTGACGAAAATGTTCTTAGGAGAAATGTTTAATTTTCAGTACCCGGTCGTCGAAAGTGTCAACTCCTCAATGAGCTTCTGCCGCAACCAAGCTAAGTCGAAGCATACAAAGCTATTTACCTGTGGATACATAAACATCACAACAAATTAGCATACCTTAAAAACCCTAGAATAATTCCATAATATGTAACCGTACCTCGATTTGTATAGTGTACATGAGCCTCTCATTGACTCTTGCGGTTAAAGAGCTAATGACTTCAAGTCCTTGCTCGTGAAGAACCTCAAGAACTCTTGAGAGTGGCCAAGCCTCGAGACCTGATGCTGAGCTATTCACAACCACCTCGATGCCGCTCAGGCACGGTTGCACCATGACACTAGTTGGATCCGATGTACTTGAACCAGATCCAGATCCGGATCCGGTTTGACTACTAGGGTCCGAACAAATCGGACGAAGTTCTCTCTTTAGCTCGTCTCTTCTTGCGGCTAGATCTTGTATCCGGTTTTGCGTGTCCTTGATGAAATTTACTGCTCCGTTTACATGATCTGACATTGCTCTCTTTCCCTGCGAAGAAAGAGAGCTATAAACCTGTCAAAACTAAAACCCTAGCAAAGAAAAGATCTCTCATCAATGACTTTGAGAGGAAAACCATGTATTTTAGTCTACGAGTACATATATATGAACCTTGATGTATTGGAGAGGTAGTTGACTACGAAGAGAGGCAAAAAGGATGGCCATTTCTTGTCTTCTTTGCCGTTCGATGTTGCGATGGAGAAGCATCTTCTTCTTCTTCGTTTCCTCTCTTTCTTCAGACATATGACTCTGGTGTCTTGTTTTCTTAGGATTATTACAAGGATCCATGGGTTGAGAGGTTTAGCAATGGCAGATCTCAGCAGGATTTCGTGGTTTCTCTTCTTTTTTTATTTAACTTTTTATGAGAGAATGCCCTTAAATAATTGGGTGTGTCTTCTTTACTCATATTTCTTGGAATAAAGAAAGAGAAAAAAAAAAGATTTATAAACCAAATAATGCAGCATCGGGAGTTGTTCTTTTCTTTGTGTGTATATTGGTTTATTGTACTAGTGTCACTATTTATTACACGTGACAAAGCTTTATGATTAATCAGAACTTTCAGATATTTCTTACAAAAACTTTCATGTGGTAAGCACTGATCTATGAAATACTTTATGATTAATCAGAACTTTCAGATATTTCTTACAAAAACTTCCATGTGGTAATTTATAGGTGAAATATTATCACACAACCAAGCACTAATTAAAAATGTTTTGAGAGAATGAGGTTGAGAAGTGTTTCTGACTTGGATCTGATCAATGAATATCAAGCAAAGGGAAAGAATTAAGCCAATGATGAGAGAGGTACTAGAATCCAAACTGATCATAAAAAAAGAAGCAATTAATCCACTATATTGAAGATTCAAAGCCGTAAAAAAATTATTGTGAGTGGTTACAGACAGAAAAATGACATTTCATCAATTTGTCCAGTAATTTGTCTATTTATGATAGTGGATGAGCACTCAGCTACATCGGTAGAATTCAAAATGGAAGCTTTCAAATAGATAAAGCGTTGCTTGAATTAGAAAGTTGTGTGTCGTTGAATTTATGTATGATTTCTACTAAGTTCTGGCCCAACAAAGGTGGCAACAAGCCAACCACGAAACCATTATGCAAATAAGAACGTGTATCACACCCAAAACTTACATGTAATCTCATTCAAGAAGTTTTATACAGAGGCGTTGTGACCACATATGTATGGTAATAGTATCGATGAATAAAAATGTCAGTTTTTAACCAACTTTTTTACGTAGCTTAAGCGTGAGAGAGTCGTGTTATAGTAGTGTCTGAGAGTCGTATTATAGTTGTGAAGTTATTGTATATTATACATTTGTTTTTTTTAATTAACTTGATTACAATATGATTAAAAGAATAATCTCATAATATCTTTCAAAATACTATAAAGGTATACAGTAAACTGCCGTCAAGGAAGACAAATTAAGTAGAATCTGCCGTCAAGGAAGACAAATTAAATAATGGGGGATAAACTATAAGTAGATAGAACGAGTGAAGTGGAGTGGAATGAACTAGTTAAAAAAGATAAGACAGCTCAGATTATTTTGGAAGAGGAGACAACAAAGATCCTACTAATTTTATAGATGGAAACCAGCTGTTAAGTTTTGTACTAAGGTATTCTCAGGCTCGTGCTCATGGATCCCACTTTTCCAAATTATTTCAAGCATGTCATCACATTCTTTTGTTACGTATTTTTCGTTGTTTGTTGTACAATCCGATTTTTGGTTTGGTTTTAATTTTTTGTTTTTTTGTTTTGAAAAGTTAATATATTATGGGTGAGTTTTTTTTTTCTTCGGGTTTTGGTAAAAAAAAAAATATTAGTTTTGAGAAAACGATATAGAAATTGTGAACATTTTCTTGAAAAATATATGAACACAGTAGTTATGATTTCTCCTTTTGTCAGAGCTGAAACCATACAATTTATGGATATCGTATTTAATAAATTTTCACTGGTTATGAAAATTAAATCAGCAGAATGCAACCAACTTCGACCACGACCCGTAAAGTCTTGCAGATGTGGCCTCAAGTATTAATGTTCTTATTGGTATTTTTTTTAATTACATTGACTAGATCCCAATAATACAATTTGAACCACATCATATAACTATTAAGTGGAGTACTAATTATCTCCGCTTACCAAAAATGATTTTTCCATTTAGAAACGAGCTAAACACATCCGATACATACAAAATAGATGTGAAGTGAACACAATACAAGTACACAACACAATACAAGTACAGATAAACTAAGTACTTATATAAGTCGTTTGCTTTGACAAGTTAAAAGAAACCAACTCAACAATCATATACAAAAATAAAACCCAATTCAACAACCATTTATTTCATTCTGATTAATCTCTCTTCAAGTTTTGCTAAGTCAATCAAGGTCATATCGCTGACCTGCAAAACAAAACAAGCCATATCGTTGTACTCTCAATTAAACATATATCATAACTCTGATGCATAGTAGTGTATACAACGGATGAGATTAATTATCTACTGAAAAAGTATAACATGAAGCCATTAAGACCCGTATGCATATAAATATAACCGCAAGAAGGCTATGAATGTTATTACATGTGTGAACATTTTCTTGAAATATATATGAACATAGTAGTTATGATTTCCTCTTTTCAAAAATTTGATGCTCAAGATAGAAAGCATATATATATATATATATATATATATAATGTCCAATGGAATTAAATTTGGATATATATTTATACTAGCTAGTATTTTAACATTTTCATAATTACTATGACTTCAACATGACTTTTCTTTGTGTGTGTTTGTGTTTCAATTTACATGTTATATAATTTTGTGTGTATCTTTAAACAAAACCACAACATGTAGTGTTTTGATGAAATGAACTTAACACGAAAACCAAACGGTAATTAAACAGACAACAAAAAGTACTTCACTTTCATTTTGTAAAAAATATTAAATGAAATACTAATAACTGATCTTTCTAGCAAACTGCAAATTATATTGTAAGTTTGTAACATGTATGTAAATAATGACGCAAATATTCATAACTGGATTAAGTAAGAGCAATATAGGTTTACCTCAGCATGTATGGTGTAAACCAGCCTATCATCCACTATGGAGGATATGGAGTTAAGAAGGCAGAGTCCATTTTCACAAAGCACTTCAAGAACACTCGAAAGCCGTGGTTGGCCACCACAACAGCGGCTGCTAAACACGATTTCAACTCCCACCAAACACTGACGAACCACCACATGATTCATCATCTCCATCTCATCCTTAGAATCATCCAAGAAGCTTCCCCTAGACAGTAACACGAGCTCATCTTTTCTAGAACTCAGCTCCTTGATCTTTTTCTGTAGATACTTTATATAGTTCACCGCCTCGTTCACCTGATCTGACGTCGAACGCTTACCCTAAAGAGACGAAAAGATCTCATCAAGAAACAAAAAACAAAACCCAAGAAAGTTATATAGATCTAATTAGGAATCTCTTAAGAGAAACTAAGGAACAACACAAAGTCAAAGCAACACTAGTTATGATCCCTTTTTCATTTACACGGAAGATCAAATCCAAAGACAAAGATTGAGTATAGTTCTAACGGAGTCATGAAGAATCAAAATCAAGAATCAAGATTAGGGTTTTTAGGAGTTGGGGACTGACCTGAATGAAGTGAAGAGGGAGAAGAGAACGAAGAGAAGCATAAAGAGAAGCCATTTCTTGTCTTCTTTGTTTTTCGATTTCTCTGTGCATCTTCTTCTCCATGTCGTTATTATCAGTACTCACTCTCAGCTTCGTACACCGTCTTCTCTTCTCCCGAAAATCGTCCATCTAAAAGCTTTGAAGGTCTTAATTTAATAATATATATATATATATACTTTAAGAGATTCTCTTCTTCTGATGATGATGATACGAGACAGCAAGATCTGATCTCCTGGGATTTTGTGATCTGGGGTTTGTTCTTAGTCTTTGAGAAGAACAGCTCAGGGCTTTGATGTAAAGTTGAAAATAATTGCAGCCTTGAGGATTGAGCAAAATAATTAAATTAAAAGATTTGTTTGATAATATTATTTAATTGGAGAAGAAGATACGTTGGTTAGACGTATCAGAAAAAGAATGAAACTAATTAAAAATACGTTTGTTAGGGTACGCACGCTGTTTGATGTCTGTCTTCTTCATCAACTCTTCTTCTATAATTATTTATTCAGATGGGATGTTCTCTTACGAGATTCCATGATTCTTGTTTTTTTCTTACCATTATTATCTCTTAAGAACACCAATCTATATATATACCAATTTCTATATATAAAAAAAAAACTATAACAACCTTTGTAGTTTTTGATGTAAGGAAAAAATGAAGCTATATATATATGTAATATAGTGAATATTAGCAAACACTATACATTAATACTTTATGCTGAAAGAGAGCTTTGTAGTGAAAAGATAAGGTGATTAAGCTTTATCAGATAATTAATACCAGTTTTTAAAAGATAATTTTATGATCCATTTTACCCAAGTATGACTCGGAATGTTACTTGAGAAAAGTTGAACGTGACTATTATTGAAAAAAATCATACCTAAATATAGTTAGTAAATTATAAACATGTTAAAAAAAAAGCATTCAATAGAAAAATAACAAAATTTACGTATTCCAACTATTTATAATAAATGTTAAAGTAACATACTAGTATGTACGTGAAATTCACTACGCTACATAAATTTTCTTACAAAGTCATAAAATAAAAGAATGCAAAAGTTTGTGGTACTAATTATTCCTATTTAGTAAATATTTAACAATACGCAGGATTAAGTAGAAGGTTTGTATTTCAGTATTCCCATAGCTATTTTGTTGGTTTTAATTGCACATTTAGAAGTACGGGGTTTATTCTCAATGAATGATATATAGTGCAAGGCTCTTCTAGAGCTCTATATGTACCTATTATCCTTTAGCAAATTCATTATTCACTATTATTCGATAGTACACACAATAATGTAATATGTGGATCCGAGGCTGTACGGGAAGCGTATTGAAACTATTTTAAAAATTGAATAGGATTATTTTTTTCCTTTATATTATTTAATTTGAAATCTATTCCGTTTTATGACTTTTAAAAATTGAAGGACTTTTTTGTTGAGTAACCATATTAACAAAATAATCAAAGAATATAGCCATGTTATTTGAAAAATTAGTAAATTAACTATGACCCACAATCAATTATCGAAAATAATCTTGTATTATATTATGCTATGTACTATATTATATTTTAATATTATAGAATAATTATATTTGATATGGTATGTACAGAAATATTTTTTGCAAAAGAGAGGAAAAAAGAGAAAAAGACAAAAAAGGAGAGGCAAGGAGAGGGGAAAGGGAGGGGAAGAGAGGAAAGGGGAGGCAAGGAGAGAGAAAAGGGAGGAGGGGAGATGAGATGAGCGTAGGGGAAAGAAAACAAAAAAAAACAAAAAGTTAATTTTGTATATATTGTAGAATATATAAAGAATATTATAACACCTAGTTTGATATGGTTATTTGATGAATTTAGTTTGGAAATATGGTCATATGACCCAATTTCCCAAAATTGAGGGCTTTTTTGTTGAATAACCATATTAACAAAACGATCAAAGAATATATCCATGTTATTTGAAAAATAAGTAAACTAATCATGACCCACAATCAATTATTGAAAACAACCTTGTATTATATTATGCTATGTACATATTATACTATATATTAATTTTATGGAATTGTATGTACAGAAATATTTCTTGTAAAGAGAGGAAGGAAGAGAAAAAGACGAGAGAGGAGGGGAGGAGAGGAAAGGGGAGGCAAGGAGAGGGGAAAGGGAGGAGGGGAATGAGATGAGCGGAGGTGAGCAGAGGAAAAGGGAAGAGAAAATGATGAGAGTAGAAGAAACATCGTAGGGGAAAGAAAAACAAAAAAACAAAAAAGAATAATTTTGTATATATTGTAGAATATATAAAGAATATTATAGCACCTAGTTTGATATGGTTATTTGATGAATTTAGCTTGAAAATATGGTCATATGACCCAATTTCCCAAAATTGAATCAGTTGTTTTAAAAAAAATAAAAATCTAAAATGAGATTACATAGATCCGGTTAGTTAAGTAGATCCGAAGTTATTACGATTATGTTAACTTTGTATAGTATATTCTCTAAGTATATTACATCTGTATCTTCTTAGGAATGTTTCCAATTCCATAGGTAAATCTCAAGAGAAGTAGGTCGGTATGTACTTTGTATATATAGAGGCTATTGGCCGCTCAATAAATACACAGAAAACCTTTTATACGTCTTGGCTTTCTGACATGGTATCAGAGCTCTTACGATCCTAAACTCTGTTATCCCTGTTCTTTTTTCTGCTTTCCTTGCCCATCTTCTACGATCTCTACTCTAATCGTTTGAAGTTCTCTTATTCTTTGATTTCATCATGTCTGATGACTCGAAGTTACCTGTTGATGACTCCGCTGTCACTACTCCACGTTCGTCATCTTCTGCTGCACTTAAATCCAAAGTTAATGAACGAGTTGAGATCCGCCGTACGATCTCACCATATGACCTTACCTCTAGCGATAATCCCGGCTCTGTGATATCTCAACCCTCGTTGAAAGGCTGGAATTATGATGAGTGGTCCACCAACATGCGTGTTTCTCTCTCGGCTAGGAAAAAAATCGGTTTTGTTGACGGATCATTTCCAAAACCAAGTGAAGAATCTGGTGATCTTGAAGATTGGTGGACCAACAACGCTCTAGTTGTCTCTTGGATCAAGCTAACTATTGATCCTCCATTGCGTACATCAATTTCACATCGTGATGTTGCGTTTGACTTGTGGGAACACATTAAGAGGCGCTTCTCTGTCAAGAATGGGCAGAGAGTTCAACGACTCAAAGTTGAATTGGTGACTTGCCGCCAATGTGGTTCTACTATTGAAGAGTACTATGGCAAGATGATGAGTCTCTGGACGTCCCTAGCAGATCATCTTCAAGCAACAAATTGTGGTTGTCCTCTTGGTTACAATATTGAAAAAGAACGTGAAGAGGATAAGTTACATGAATTTCTGATGGGGATCGATGAGTCTCTTTATGGAGCTGTCAAATCTAACCTTCTCTCGCGTGATCCGTTGCTCTCGCTTGATGAAGCTTACAGCATCCTAACTCAAGATGAAGATTCCAAGAAAGCTGCCAGAGCATTCGACGACCGTAATGACACTATGGTTTTTTCTGCTCAGAACTCTGGATGTGCCGTTACTCTGACCCGTGAAGATAGACAAAAACTTCCCTGCTCCAGTTGTGGTCGTAATGGTCATCTTGCAGATAATTGCTTTTGTACACTGGGGTACCCAGATTGGTGGGGCGATCGTCCTCGCAACAAGCTGAACTCTACTCGTGGTGGTGGTGCAACATCAAATCGTGGATCTTTCTCGAGTCGTGGTACCACCAACAATCAAGCAATTTCAGCTCGCGCCAATGCTGTTGTTACTTCTGACCGTGTTGGCTTCAGTGGATTAAACGATGAGCAGTGGAAGTCTCTAGTTGAGTTTCTGGATCAACGTAAGAAACCTGCCACAAATCGTTTGACAGGTACGTTTTTTCTTTCTTCTTGGATTATCGATACAGGAGCCACGAACCACATGACCGGATCTCTAGAATTTCTCGAAAATCCTCATGATATGGCTCCAATGTCAGTTAAATTACCGGATGGACACTTTACAGTAGCTACTAAACAAGGCTTAGTTCGTCTAGGCCCTAATCTTACACTTCAGAATGTGTTATTTGTGGATGGTTTGCAGTGTCATCTGATTTCAGTATCTCAGTTGACCAGAAAACAGACTTGTGTCTTTCAGATTACTGATGAACTTTGCATTATTCAGGACTTCATGTCGTAGATCCTGATTGGGGCGGCTGAGCAAATTCGTGGTTTATACTTCTTCAGAGAGATCGAGGCGGTTGCAGCAGCTTATCGGACAGAACTTGCTTCTTACGACATCTGGCACAAGCGTCTCAGACATCCCTCTGCAAAAGTAGTTGATCTTTTATCGCTTTCTGGTTTTGGCTTTGATAAGAATTGTTATTTATCTAAGACGTGTGAGATTTGTTTACGCGCCAAGCAAACACAAGATGTTTTTCCTAATAGTTGCAATAAAACAAGCAATTTGTTTCAAATGGTTCACGTTGGCTTATGAGGTCCTTACCGTACACCTGCTCTTTGTGGAGCTCGCTACTTTCTCACAATATTGGATGATTACTCTCGCGGTCTTTGGTTATACTTACTTCCATCCAAACAGGATGTTGCCAAAACCATCAAAAACTTCATTGTTTTAGTTGAACGTCAATTTGAGAAATCGGTAAAAACAATTCACAGCGACAATGGCTCTGAATTTCTTTGTCTGTCTGAGTACTTTCGTGAACATGGCATCCTTCATGAAACTTCATGCGTCCACTCTCCACAGCAGAATGGATGTGTAGAACGAAAGCACAGGCATATTCTTAACATTGCGAGAGCCCTACATTTCCAATCGAATCTCCCTATTGAGTGCTGGGGAGAGTGCGTATTAACTGCAGCTAATCTTATTAATCGCACACCAACTCTGCTCTTACAAGGCAAAACGCCTTTTGAACTGATTCACGATCGACCTCCAGTTCTTCATCACCTTCGCGTTTTTGGCTGTCTCGCGTACGCCCACAATAAGCAGCTCCATGGTGATAAGTTTGCTTCTAGAAGCACTCGCTGTGTCTTTATCGGATATCCACATGGCAAAAAGGGCTGAAAACTTTGCAATCTTGACTCCGGCGTCATTTTTTCCTCTCGCGATGTTGTATTTAGTGAAGAGGATTTACCTTACGTAACAGATGCTGCACTTAGTACCTCAGAGGATGCTCCTCTGCGTTTAACTCCTCCTCTTCCCGACGATCTATCAGCCTTTAACTGCTTAGAAAGACTCACTCTATGTTATATGAGTAGCGGCATGATGCAGCCTGCATCTGCTGAATTGTGTGATAACGTAACCAGACTATGCTTTAAGATTTGATGAAATTGAAGCCTAATTTTAAATCTTTAGATGCTTTAAGCTTTAAAGCAGGAAATAGAGCTAGGATTGGTGTTGGGCCAACCCAAATAAAATATTGGGTTCAGTTCCCAATTTCTGTTGCCTATTATAAAAAAAAATATTCTCATGTATAATAAGTTTTATAATATTTACTGGTCCATAATAATTTTTGATAACTAA